CAGCTGACTGCTTTTGAATCAAATTTCATGAGACACCAAACACGGTGGGGGGTCATTTGTCTTATGTGTTAAGACCCTTAACAGTGTCTCATTCTCTTTGGGGTATCTATAAAGAGACAGTAGTTCAGGGCCTCCCTGGTGGCACAGGCAGTTGAGTGCTGCACTGTGAAGCTGTCCGCAGCCTCTGAAGCGTGGGTTCGATCCTGGCCAGCCAGCGAGTATCCTGTATGGCATGGCAGACCTCTCCTGTCTTGCCCGCTGCTCCCCTCAGCAGTGTGTTTTCATCAGTCTGCCTGTGCTGTTCCCCGCTTTGTCTCTGCTGAGTCCTCTCACCCTCTCTTGCATCTGGCCTGTACCCCAGTTCTGGTATAGATAAATAAATCTTAAAAAGAGAAAGAGAGAGAGAAAGAATACTTCAGACAATAGCAAATGATATTTCTGGCCAATTCCTGTATAAAAATAAAACGGAAACCGGAACAAATGTCCTATGTAACCTCTCATGAAAGATTGGTTAAGTAAATGGTTATTTCATATGGTGAGATATTTTGCTGTCAAAAAATATATTAAGATATTAATTTAAAAAATACCAATTCATTCATTTAGCAAACATTTCTTGAGCACCCGCTACCTGCCAGAAACTTGCTGCACACTGAGGCCAATGTACCAGGCCCATGCACTTTCTCTCCCCCAAGTGACGCCCTTAGCCTGATAAAGGGTGGAAAAGACAACAAGCAGGTAAATAAGTCATCTCAGTGTGATTGGCATGGTAGAATGCCAAGTGCAGGAGCGGTGTACTGTGTGGTGTGAAAAGTATATGCACATTTAAAAGAGCCAAGAAGAAAATATGTCAAATTCCAGGTGATTTTTATTTTCTTCTTTATGTTTCGTGTTTAATAATTCTTCTGTGACTAGGAAAAAATAACTCAAAAAAGAGAATCATACTTGAAATGTATGCCATACCTTAGAATACTTGTTTCATGTCTTATGAAGACAGAAAAAAGAGACCCCCCAAGAGGAAGCAAAAAGAGATGTCCACCTGTAAGTATAAGAACAGGGACAGAGGACCTCCCTGGTGGCGCAAGGGGTTAAGTACAGCGCTGAGAAGCTGTCCACAGCCTTTGCAGCACGAGTTCGATCCCCAGCCAGCCAGGGAGCTACCCACATGGCGCAGCAGACCTCTCCTGTCTCGCCCGCTGCTCCCCTCAGCAGTATATTTCAGTCAATCTGCCTGTTCTGTTTCCCACTCTCACACACACACACACCCCCACCCTGCCACACATGTCTGGCCTATATCCCAGTTCTTGTATGCATGAATAAATAAATCTTTAAAAAAAAAAAAAAAGAACAGGGAGAGAAATGTATGCCATGGTCTAAACCTTACCCTCAGTTCAAATTTTTCCCTCACCTACTAGGAAGGGGAAGTCTCCTTTTGGGGCACACACAGTCCATTGCCCTCTGTCTGCCCCCTTTCTTCTGTGCCCTTGACAGCTGGCCTCAGAGGCTGGCATAACTATCTCTTACAAATGGAAAGAAGAAATCAACATTTAAACCAAGTGTGAGCAAAATACCTTCTTGTTCCACTTGTGCTTGCTATGAACTTGGCTAAAATGCACTTTTGTGCACCTGTGCCTTCTTTGTTCCCAGCAAGTATTTCTAATAAATTTCTGAGTTTATAAATTGCTTCAAGATTTATCAAATCAGAAAGGTGTCCAGCTCTTAATCATATAAGAAGATGAGCATCTTCTCACATCAACAAGAGAAATGCAAAGGAAACTTTTGAGTGACCAGATTGCTGACCCAAGGCTGGGAAGGGAGCAGGCAGATTGGTCATCCCTGCAGGAGTTTACGGTGACCTAACCCCATGCAGGATGATTGGGCAATGTGTATTGAAATGACAGATTGACATTTCTTTTAATCCCTAGTTCCACTTCAAGGAATGGTGCACACAGGTATATTCACACACTATGAAATGACCTGGTCATTTGATTTTATGTAACAAACATTTATGTAACCACTTCTGTATGCCTGTCACTATTCTAAGTCATTAAATCATTTAATCCCCCAGACAACTCTAAGAGGTAGATATTATTATTATCCCCACTTTATAGATGAGAAAAGTGAAGAACAGAGAGGTTAAGCAATTTGACCAAGGTCACACAGCTAGCAGGTGACAGAGCCAGAATTCAAACCTAGACCATGTTGCTCCAAGGACTTTGTTTGCCCGCCTCCTCATGTGACCAAGGTTATAGCACCCTCTGTAACTGCAAAAGTTTGCAAACAGTCCCAATAGGAGTCACCAAGAGGAGATTTTTAAGTGACATGACAGTTCTCTGATGCAGTGATGAAAATACTACCAAGATTCTTTGTTCATACAAAAAGCAACATGCAAAAGGGACTACTGGTGTGTTACTAAAAGCCCATGGGGCAGGATACATGTTTATACCTGTTGAGAGAAGAATAAAACATCTCTGGAAATCTGCATGAGAAACCAGTCACCTGGTCACCCTTGGGGAGGGAGATGGTGGCCAGGAGATGGGGCTGAAAGGGGATAGTCACTGCATTCCCTTCTATATGTTAGATTTTGGGGCCATTTATTACTTATTTGGACACATAAATCAAAAGCCCTGAATCCTACTGCTATTTAATGTTTTCTCCTTGACCATAAAAACTTTTTAAAAATTAAAAAAAAAAAAAAACTGTATGTGAAAGGTAACATAAGCTGTGAGGGTTTTTTAAAATCCAATGATCCCTGAGGGAATACAATTAAAATGAAGCCTCTCTTCCAGTCCTGAACCCCAGCCCCTGCTTACCCCCAGGGCAGCTCCTCCTGTTGGTTTCCTGGAATGCTTTCCTCCCTCAGTGGGCTGATCCTGGGCCCAAAGCAACCCCCTTTGTTTGTCTAACCCAAACTAGATCTGAAAATAAGAATCTAATTTTAGTGATGAGGGCTTTGGTGGTGGGTACTTTTGGAGACTTCAAACAGGGTTGAAATAAATCTTGACTCAAATTACAGCTTGCAGGCCTCTGGGCCCCTGTCATGTGGTCATCCTGCTCCCACCTTAATCACCATTTGTCACTCAGTCATTAAAATGCCCAGATTCCTTTGTGGCTTTGAAACACAGCTTTCCTTTGACCCCAAGGAGTTGGGAATGGATGGCAACGCATAGCCAGGGTCTGTGTTTCCCGCACCTGCACCCAGATGGGAAATGTTTCTTAAGTTCTGTTGTTGGTCCACGTCATGTCAGCAGTGTGTTATGGAAATGCCCACAGTGTGTCTCATAGATCTAGGCCCCATGCAAGCCCATGTCCTGGGAAATAGCCAGCTCAGGAGTGAGTTTTCAAATGGAAGGACCTACACACTCAATCCCACAGGTAGGGGGAGGCCCAGATGATACAGGCCTGACTTCGGGTGACTGGGGTGCTGCAGGCTTTCGGGGTCTTGGTTGGCTTGGGTGATTATTACAAGGAAGCAGTGCTGCTGTGTGCCATGGTGAGTGAATGAGTGAAAGTTGGATGCCATTTGGTGAGAGCTTCACAGCGCTGTCTTTAGCCCCTGAGCCACCAGGGAGGTCCTGGATGCCATTTGGGACAGCACCAGGGACAGGCCCAGTGTGCAGCAGGCCAGTTCTGCCCCTGTCCTCCCCACACCCACCTGGGGCAATATTGGTTACAGCCCACAGGTGGGAGGGGCACATGGATAAGCAGGAGCCCCCTTTGGGAACCCAAGGGAATCCTGGCATTGGAACAAAAGAGAAAATGAAACTGGCAGCTAAGCCCACTTTGCAAAAAATTAGTATCTAGACAGACATTTGAAGACAGATGGCCTGCCATGCAGAGCGAAGAAGAGGAGTCACAGAAACAGAAGTGACGATAAAAATACCGATGGATACCAAAGAGCCAGAGCAACGATAGCTCTGGCCTGGAGCCTTCTGAAGGCCGGGAACCCCAAGACAGACAATGCAGACTCAGCCAGGTCTTTCCCTCGCTGGCATAGAAACAAAGCTGGCAAAGACAGCTTTGAGTGGTGTGAGCGGTCATGAGGGTTCATTGGGGTGACTGGCAGCTGGTAGGATTGTGTCTCGTGCTTGGCCAATCAGTTCCAAGTAAACCCTGGGAGTGTGGGGTGGCTGTGAGTCAGGTTAACTGAGCAGCGCATCCTGAGGCGGGTCACACTGGACCTCGGACCTCATTTTCACAAGGACAGCAGTGTCCCTTCAATGTGTCACACTGCTCTAAGTGCCAGGGATCCTATAATAAGGGGCGCCCAGCCCATGCCAGCTCACCCGAGATTCTGCCTCTGTTCTAAGTGCTCTAGAGCATCAGGGGTTACATCTGGAACCCCACATCTCTTTCTACCTGAGAAAACCTGAAAGCATTCCCACATGGAGACGGGGGGTGGAGGGGGCTGGCGGGGAGGGTCCCTGCTGCCCGTGCCTGGCTGGGCTCTGTTCAGCAACCAGCTTCTCCCCACACCTAGCGTTCATTTCCCACACACCCTGCCTGGTGCCTGTTGCATTCATTCACCCTTCCGCTCAAAGGGTGTGCTCCCCACATCTGCTTCTGTAGACATTAGGGTTTGTCCCACCACTGCCACCCCATTAATCTTCCCCACCTGCACCTGCCCTGGGCTGGCTATGAAGAACCCAATATTCATCTTACTGTGACCCAGGATTGAGGAAACAAATAACAGAACTCTGAGCAGCTTGTTGGCATATTAGCCTGGGGGTACCCACTGGATATTCCAAGATGGGGAGGAGGCTGTTGCCAATCATGGGGGGTGGGGAGAACTTGGCCTGGGTGGTAGGTATGTCCTCAGGTAACTAGAAGTGAAGCAATAGGCCAGAGCCCCACTGCAGGAGGAAGGCTTGGGGTATCAGCGGAGCAGCATCTGGGGCTTCTGGGACAGTGACCTTTGGGAGGCCAAAGGGCCCGAGCACTTCCAGAGCTTCCTAAGAGCATAGAATTCTAGCTTAGGTGACTGTGGATTTGATGCCTTCCAGGGAAACTTCGAGAATGGAGCCTCATCTTATACGGCACAGCCGAGCACCCCTACAACACCTTCAGCTCCCACCAGTCCCGCTCCCGGATGCTGGAGCTCTCCACCCCAGAGCTGGAGCCCCCCAAAGCTGCTGTGTCACCATCCCAGGCTGAGATCCCCGAAGAAGAAGAAGAATACACAGGTAAAGAAGGGGAAGCCAGGTGGCCAGCCCCTGCCACTTTTGGTTTTCCACTGTAGCTTTTAAAATGTGGGGCTGTTCCGGGCCAAAGGTGGGGTGATGATAGTATGTCCTCCTTCTCTCATGGAAGTTGTAATAATGACGGCAATTTGCACTCACACAGCTCCTTCCACCCATGGCTCTCCCAATATTTTACAGACCAGTAAGTATGCTTCAAACCAGTAAGTATTCTCCAACCTTCCCAGGCTGGGAAACTGAGGTCCCATATGCCCAACCAGAACTGGGACTGGGCCCTGGGGCACCCCGTTTCCTCTGAGCCTGTTTTGAATGTCCACCTCCTAATGACAGCCTCTCAGGTGTGTCCATGGCCAGTGTTGGAAGGACAATGCATCTCTGGGGCTCAGGACGGTAGGGTTGAATGAATGTAGCCTGGAGAGGAGGTAGCCATGGAGCAGGCCAGGCCCTGAGGGCTGGATAAAGACCCAGGGGAGGGTCTCCGGTCTGTAGCTACTGATGCCAACTGCAAAAGGCTGAAGGCTCACACAGGGAGTCAAGGCATCTGATTGCTCATTTTTTTCTCCAGCCCCACCATTGATAGGGGGTCCTTGGCACTAGGCCTCCTTCTCCCTTCCTGGAGGCTGCCTCTGGGCTGGGCACATCTTAATTAGCATGGAAGGCAGGAAGCCAGACCCCCTGCGTCCCGCCATTGTGACTGGGGAGACACAGTGTTTCTGGTTGGGCATATTTTCCTTCATAAACATTTAGGCTACTTGATAAATGATGGCTGATATCTAAAGACTATTGATGCTTTGAGTTATCTAGTATCTTCTGGAAAAAAAGTAACCAAACAGGGGATTCTACCAATACATATCAAGTATAAATTATGGTTGATTCAATATTAAATTTCTGCTACCATTCCTGTAAAATGGAGTGCTGAATTATGTATGGACTAATCTGCTCTGTTTCCCCCTGTGATTTATAAACTGTGGCAAGGCTCAGTAATTATTAATAAAGGACTGGGTATTTTTTTTTTTTTATTTCTTAAAATCTGCTCCTGACTCTAACCTTATGCTGCTGTCCCGTAAGACTGTTTTTGAAACCCTGTGACTCAGTCTTCCCAGAACCGTCTGGAAGATGGAGGGGCCGCTGGGTGATGGGACAGTGCCTGTCTCTCAGGGAAGCTCCCTGCAGTGTTGGGGGCCAGTCAGTCCGGAGGGCAAGTAACTGGGAGAGGGGAGAGAGAGGCAAGAGCAGGAAGATGCCCTTGTGGAGGGCAAAGGAGAGAGAATTTTGAAGAGGGGGGATTTGGGGGGCAGAGGAGAGGGAGGGAGGAGGCAGGAGAAGGAGAGAGGACGGAGGAAACAGTGGATTGGGAAGGAGGGGAAGTGAGGAGGGGACAGAGACCAAGAGGAGGAAGGGGGAGAAAGGAAAGGAGAAGAGTCAGGAGGTTGGGGAATGGAGGGGAGGGATGAGGAGGGAGGGAGAAAGTGAGGAGGGCAGGAGGAGCAGGCACTGACAAGGGCCAGGTGGAATGGTACATCTGCTTGGTCCCCTGGGGAAGCGTCTGTCAGACAAGCAGGGTGCAAAAGCTCAGGGAAAGAGAATGCAGGTGAGGGGTGATTTTTGTTTTATTAAGATTTATTTATTTATTTATTTATTTATTTATTTATTTATTTATTTATTTATTTATTTATACAAGCACTGGGTACAGTCAGAAGCGCGGGAGGGTGAGAGAATTCACCAGAGCCAGAGCGGGGAGCAGAACAGGCAGACTGAAGAAATACACTGCTGAGGGGAGCAGCGGGTGCGGCAGGAGAGGTCTGTTGCGCCATGTGGGACCCTCAAAGGTGGCCGGGGATCGAACTGGTGCTGCAGAGGCTGCTGGCAGCTTTGCAGCCCAGTGCTCAACCGCTGCGCCACCAGGGGAGGCCCAAGGTGAGGGGTGATTTTGAAGTGGGTGATGATTATTAAAAACTTTGCCCAGAGCTTGCAGGGATGAGGGCCGGAGAGGGTGAGGAGAGAGTCTCCAGAATTCGAAGTGCTGGCCTGGGGGGCCAGGGCTCGCCAGAACAGGCGGAAGGGGGCCCTATTCCCAGGGGTCAGCAGCAGAGGGAGCTGGGCAGCACAGGGATGGGGGTGCAGATGGGAAGGGGCCAGTTCTCGCTGGACAAGAAGTAAAGGGGAAGGGTGAGGGAGGCTCAGAGGGGGAGTCCAGCCACCGTGGATGGCATGGGCCTGACTGTCCTCGCAGGAGAGGGGGCAGGAGAGCGTCTCTGCGAAGGGGGCAGTTGGGATGGAGTTGGAAGGGACGTGGCTCATGTACGTAAGCCACAAGGAGAAAGATAAATCCTGGATGGAGTCACTTATAGAGAGAAACCAAACAAAGGGTCAGACAAAAACAAGCTTTAAAACCAACCCTTGAAAGCTGACCACAGAGCTGAAGCTTCCAGAGGGAGATGGGGAGGGGGCAGAACAGGGCTGCGGGGTGGGGTGGGGGGGAACTAGGGGGAGAGCACAGTGGGCCAGGCTGGAGGACTGTGTGTGCGTTGGTGGTGAGTGCACTATGGTGACCACACTGAGGGGAGGGCCTGTACCTCCAAAATAATATTAACAATGGCATGAACCAGTGGTGTTTCAGTAATGAATTTATGAAAAGCATAAAAAGAACATCTGGTCAGCTGACCTGGCTCCCTAGGGATGGGGCAGAGAAGGCAGCCGAAGTGACACCTGATCCCTGAGCCTAGGAGGTAGAAAGTGAAGGCAGTGGTAGGGTCTGGAGTTCCCAACATAAATGTGGGTGTGAATCCAACTGGATACAGGTTGGGGGGGCTGGCATGTCAGGAAGATTGGGGATCCAGCAGGAAGGCGGGACCAGGGAAAGGCAGGGGCTGAGGCACTGAGGGAAGAGCCCTGGTGGTGGCCAGACTGTTGCCACAGAGCCAGCTGGTGCTGAAGAGTCCAAACACCGCCGTGATCAAGCCTGCCCCAGGGAATCGCTGGGATGCTTGGTTGAGAAGCAGGTCCTAGGCTGCCCCCCTACCACACACACACCCGAGGCAGTCTGGGGTGCCTGAAGGAAGCACTGGAGGTGACTCCTAGAGTGGCCAGCAGATGCGCAGGCCACGAGGGGAGGAAGCCTGGGCTTCAGGAGAGAAGCAGAGGAGGATGTGTTTGCTGAGGGCAGTCAGGACCAAGTGGTCATCCATGCAAGGGCTGGGCCTCTGCCTGGAGACATTGTTACAGGACAGCTGGACAGGCAAGGGAAGATGCTTCACGGTCACCTGACTGGTCAGTTGGCACCGTGTTGGGTCCAGACTCAGGCAGGTCCATACTCACTGGACACCTGAGGATGGAGGCCTGGAAGCCTTAAGCAACTCAGCCAGCTCTCGGACCTTCAAAACAGAGCTGAGGCCTGCAGAAGGGTGGCTGTTGAGAGGGGAACAGCAGGCCTAAGTGCTCATGACAACAGGAATAACATGGCTCACCCAGAGACTAGGTCAGCAGCAGCTGAAAACACGGGCGTTCTTAGGAGGCCTAGTTTATAGGGATGAGACAGCCAGGCAAGTAGATTTAATTCACATTCATGGAGGAAATGAATCTGATGTTGGATCTCTTGAGACATGTTGAGAACCACACTGAGGAGGGTGTCTCACTGTGGAGGGGGTTGTCTCTCAGCATCCTTGCCTGGACGGTGACTTTCTGAGCTTTCTACCTATTGGGCCTCCACAGTGCCAGGAGCCTACCTGCCCTCCCTGCTGGGGTTCTGCTGTCCTTGCTGTTGGATGCACCCCAAGCTTGTGTGGAGCTCCCCTTGAGGTGTTTGACTACCTCTTTACCACAGAGAGGCCCCGGGAGAGAGGGGGCACTTCTCTTCTGGGGCTTGGGGTAAAATCTACACACATGGACCAGCAGCTGGAAGCCAAGCTCCAAGCTCTTCCCCTAGGCTACTTCTGTCTTGGGATATTCTAGAATATTCTGTTTGTAGATGGTGAGGACACCTGCATTTTCTCAGTCTCCTCTCTACTTTTCCTCCTCAGCTGCTTGATTGGACTTCAGCCACTTGCTCCAACTGTTTATGGTGCTCCAGCTCTGCTCAGTGCCTTTCTAGGTGCTGGGAATTTAGCAGTGAACACTCTAGACTAAATCCTGCCCGAGAGGAGCTTCCCCTTCTCCTGTCTGGAATCCTCTCCATCCCCCCAAATCTCTTAAGATTGAGGAAATTGTTTGCTTTGTCAGATGAGACAGATCTACCACTTACTTTTCTGGGCCTTGCAGAGAAGCTGCTACAGGGAAAGACAGAGGCCCTGGGTCAATTAGGTCTCTGAGTCTGGAGGCCACAGCTGGTGGGCGTGTTGAAAAGGCCTGTGCCTACTGGCTCCTGTGTTGGCAGTACTGTGGACAATAAATGTAAAACAATGGGGCAAAGTAGAGGAGAAAGTAAATGGCCTGGGGTAAGATGGACAAGAATCAAAGCAAGTAAGAATTGACTGTAAAATACCAAAACATGGATTGAAGCTGGAAGGGATTATGCTAAGCAAAACAAGCCAGGAGAAAAAAGATAAATATCGGATGTTTTCACTTATATTTGGAATATAGAGAAACCAAGCCAAGTGTCAGGGGAAAAAGGAAGACGACTAAACTTGCAAGCTGACCATAAACCTGTGTACAGCATGGTGGGGGGTGCAAAAAAGGGGAGGGATTGCACAGGGGACTAGTGATGGATCATGGGTGCCATGTTGGTGGGAGAACTATGGAGAGAAATCAAATACTATCCAAAAATTAACAAAGGTGTAAGAAAATAAACCATTAAATCTTTAAAAAATAATAATAATAAAGTGGCAAAACGGGCTGGAGCTGGGGAAGGTGTGTTGGGGTGTTGCTCAGTGAGGCGCTTCAGCCAGGTGTCCAGGGACCCCGACTGGGAGATGCCACTAGGGGGTAGCAGGATGGATGGGGCTTTCAGAGGGGTTCACAGTGGTCCCACAACAAAACCTTTGGAAATATCAACAATGATCAGCCTTCAGGCAGGGAAGCAAAATAAGCTGGGCCTGGCCCTGGGGAGGTCTGGAGGGCCTTTAGAGATGGATGAAGAGCAAAGCCCTATTGTGGCAGCAGGGAATGGGGACTTTTGTCTTTCCCGTGTGTCCCCACAAAATGCTGCTGGCCAGCAACTCATCTCCTCTGTCCTAACTCACTCCCTGCCCTCCAGCAACCAAAACCTTGTGGGTTAATTTTTATTATTAACTTATTTATTTTCTTACATCTTTGTTAATTTTGGGATGTTTTGATTTCTCCCCTCCGATCTAGTCTGCATAGTCTCCCACCACCATGACACCCCTGATCCATCACCACAGTCTCCCGTGCTCTTCTCTCCCAGATTTTAACTCCTCTCCCTCCCCCTCCCCTGCTGTGTGCAGGTCTCTGGTCACCTTGCAAGTTTCGTCTTCTGTTTTTTTTCCTGACAAGGGGAATAAACGGAACCAGGTCATTACCTGCCCTCCCATCTATCCAACATCTCCTTAGTATCTCAAACTGCCTTTCCCATCACCGACCCCGACCCATACTGCTGGCCATCCCGGTCTGGAGTCCTCAGACCTCTGACCCTGGGGCTCCAGCCAGGCTGGGCCCACCTGCGGCCAGATTCCCAAGGGGCTGGGTGCTATAGCCCTGCATCCAACTCCCAGGGAACCTTTTCCTGGCCCTACTAGGCCACCCTAGCCTGACACAGGGCCACGGGGGCTGGATTTGGTTGAGAAAGCTCTCTGTGGGTGAAAGGAAATGCTTATTTCTTTAAGGTGCATGCCATCCCGAGTGTGGTGACAAAGGCTGTGATGGCCCCAATGCAGACCAGTGCTTTAACTGTGTCCACTTCAGCCTGGGGAGTGTCAAGACCAGCAGGTAACGGGCTCGGATTCCATCTGCATGTTCTGGAACTTCCTTCTTAGACCCTCTGCCCACTTAGCAATCAATGTAACCTCCCCTGTGTCTCCCCACCCCATCCCAACACCACCAAGATCACATTGCGGTTCATTGCTTTGGAATGTTGTGTTTGTTAAAGAGAAATCAGGAACTGTGGCATTGCAGGGTCTGCTTGGATGCTGTTCCTGTCCATTTTGTTCAACAACAATGAATGCCACACTTGGGACCTGTAGACAAGTGTCATTTTAGGGGTCAATTATAATCTACAAATCAGCATTGTCAACCATGCCTGGGGAGCACACCCCTCAGGACCCAAGCAGGGGTGCAGGGGTGCTCGGGGGGCAGGAGCACAGGTGTGATGCCCCTGGCATCATCAGGTCCAGGGCACGGTACACTCACCTTGCTCTGTGCAGAGGCAGCGGTTCCGCTGACTTTCTTCACTGCCCATGGGACTCACTCCCCACCGGCACCAGTGGTGGTGTTTGCTGGACCTGAAAATTCTAAAAGTCAAGTGCAGTTGGCCCGAACAGCTCAGCTTGGGCGGCACGGGGCCACTTATTCATGGAACAGGTTCCATGTTCACAGAGTCAACTAATCGCGCTATCATTTGGTTGAATCTGCAAATGCAGAAACTGCAGGGTATGGAGAGATTTTCAGCTGGGAGGGTCATCAGTGCCCCTGACCCCAAGGGTCAATCATCCCAGCTCTGGTGAGAAAGGATTCCCGGTTCTTACCCAAGTCCTCGTCTCTCTCCCTTGTACTCAGGAACCTCTCAGCTGTGCCCCCCAGACAGTGGGCATCAGAGCTTTAACCTTCAGCTGCCCTGCCTTAACCTGAGCCAGGGGCGGGGTTGGGGGGTCTTTCGGGGTTGACCTGCAAAGACCTCTCCCACTCGTGCCCCCACAGGAAGTGCGTGAGTGTGTGTCCCTTGGGCTACTTTGGGGACTCAGCAGCGAGACGCTGTCGCCGGTGCCACAAGGGATGTGAGACCTGCTTGGGCAGGAGCCCGACCCAGTGCCTCACATGCCGCCGCGGGTTTTATCACCATCAGGAGATGAACACCTGTGTGACGCTCTGTCCTGCTGGGTTTTATGCTGATGAAAGTAAGTGCAAGTCCATGGGCGTAGAAGTGATGCTTCAGCCTCTCTCTGGCCTAGGGTTCCCTCTGCTGGGAGAATTGTCCCAGCCCTCTGCTTCCTGTCCTGCTATGTCATTCTGAGAAAGGAAGGCGAGGTGGTGAAATCGGGGTCCTCAGACCTCTGACCTCCTTCATTAATAAAGGTCCCCAGACACACCTGAACAGAACAGCTGCATGATGTGGACCCACATCCCTGGTCGCCCGTCTGTAAGTCAGTGTCCATTACCGAATAGAGGGGTGACTTAGACCGCCTGATCTCAGGCTCAGTCTGATTACAGGCTTCAAAAGATGAAGGCCAGGGTTGGGGGAGGGGTGGTTCTCTGCTGTTTGTCCCGCAATGTCTCCTGCAGGAAAGACTGGACCTCTCTGTAGCGCTGAATGGGGGTCAAGGGATTCAGCTCTTGTTTAGAAACTGGGTTGAAGTCCTTGCTAGCTAGACCTGCTGAGCTCACATTGGGGTTTCATTTCCCATTGCAAAAATCAACTATCCTTGGTCACCCACACATCTTGACTGAGCACCTACTGCTATGTTTAATGCTGCCCGGAGACCCTGAGAAGGAGGCCCAAGGTGTAGCAAGCAACTCTCAGCTTTTAGGACCAGGTGAGGCTGCTGAAGTGCTAGAGTGAGTGGCCCAGATGATAACCTAAAATCCAGGTGGGACCAGTGGTCACCCAGAATTTCCCCATGAGGTAAAACAGGTGTCATCGATTCATTCTCAGTGTCTATAGATGTTTCTGGAGTTCAGGGTCTAGCTACTCACCACTCATAAGCCAAAGCTCAAGAGACAAAAACAAATTTCCCTGGTAGAAGGAAATCAAGTTTAATCAGGAGCCAGCAAACCTGAGAACATGGTGGACTCTTGTCAAAAAAGACCATCTTCTAGATTTGGGGTCAAGTAGGGACTATTGGGGGAGTACTCAGGAAGGAGAGAGGTGAACAGGTCTGTGTCAGCAGGATTTCAGAGAAATTGGGAGGATTTTCCAGGAACTGTATCCACGCCCCTTTTTCTTCTAAGCTTGGTCTTGACAGGGTCTGTCACTGAGCTGGTAGGCATGCTCTTTATATGATAATGAGGTTGTGTCACACTTCCACCTCTGTCTTAGTTTCAACTGGTTTTGCCTGGTTTTCTAGTAAGAAAAAGATAAAGAGGGGTAGAGCAAGGACTAACAGGGCAAAGTTGGGAAATGTTGATTCTGGTCAATGACATAAGTACCAAATCTTGATGTAGACCCTATGAAGGTGTTAGGGGGGAGCTCAGAGACACCCCCACACTCTATCCCATCATGTTTATAAAGACTTGCTTCTGATTAAACACACCTCAGCCAGGAGCTGGCTTCAGTCCTGTTAAAATAGGCAGAACCTTTTTTGATTGCTGAGTAATACTCCATGGTGTGTATGTACCACATCTTCTTGATCCAGTCATCTATTTTTGGGCATTTGGGTTGTTTCCAAAGCTTAGCTATTGTAAATAGTGCTGCTATAAACATAGGGGTGCAGGTGCCCTTTGGAATTAATGTTTCTGTGTCCTTTGGGTAAATACCTAGGAGTGGAGTTGCTGGATCCTATGGAAGCTCTATCTTTAGTAGGTCCAGAAATCTCCACACAGCTCTCCATAGTGGTTGGACCATGCAATTTGCAGCAACATGGATGGAGTTGGAAGGGCTCATGCGAAATAAGACAATAGCAGGAATGTAGAAAACCTAAATAAGGGACCAGGAAAAAGACTAATTGCAATAAAGTAAAAATCAAAATCAACAAGCAGCTGTAGACCAGAGACACACTACAGTGGGGGGCAGGGGGAGGAGAAGAGGGATTAGGGTCAGAGAAAGGGAGTGGGAGTTGTATGGGGACTATAACCAAAATGAAAATGCATACATTATGCAAAAATGAAAAATGATGTAAGAATTATATAAAATAAAATAATTCATAAAAAAAAATAGGCAGAACCACAGCGCACCTCCTTAGAAGGGACCCACCTCCAAAGCTCTGGGTTGTCTGAGGACTTTAATTTATTCCAGAAAGAGAGATGAGAGAACTGTGATGGACACTGGGTGGTGCATCGACCCCGCCCTGAAACGCCCCCAGCTTGTTCCACCCAGATTGGATTCACTTCCATTTCCTCCTTTTCTTTTTCATGTCGTCTTCTTCTCCAGGTCAGAAAAATTGCCTTAAATGCCACCCGAGCTGTAAAAAGTGCATTGACGAACCTGAGAAATGCACAGTCTGTAAAGAAGGATTCAGGTAAAGCCTTCCTTCAAGCCTGCAGAGTGGCCGTGTTTCTGCAGACAACTGTGTCTATCACTGCTGCCCAAATTTTTGCAACTTTTCCCTAAAAACTAAAATTTCAGAGACCAGAGCCTTTCAGGATGAAGATTCTGAGTCTGCTGAACTCATGTTTGCAGGTGCAGATTGTTGTTTGAGCCGGAAAGTTCAAGGATGGGTACAGTCTCTACATTTTATGCAGTGTTTGGAGGATGGGTAAAAGCAGCAGTTAGTCCTCGCATGTCAGGAGCTGGCTGCTGGGAGCCTGAGGAGCTGGAAGGGAGCCCATTTTTAGGCACCGGTAACCCCATTTATTCTGGTCTCCCTTCCTAGCGAGGGCAAGGGAGCAGGATCCCAAAAAGCCCATCCTCCTGTCTCTCCATCCCTCTGTTCTCACTCTTCCCACCTCTTGTTTCTCCCTTCCCGGAGGGCAGCTCCTTATCTGTGACTGCTCTTCACATGCCTGGCTCTCCCTGTTCCGCCAAGCTCAGCAAGTGTCGCTGTTAAATACATTTTACTGGTTCATGCTTTTCATGGAATATTTGGGAATGTTTGTTTAGCCTGCTTGATGCAACCAAATTGCATTTAATGCAATTAAATATACATTGCTTCTTCCTCTGTGTTACTAGCTAGAAGCTTAGAAAATATCCTGTTCAAAATTACGTGGTGATCACTCCAGGGACTAAATCTAGAGTCTGCCTGTCAAGGAGGAAAGAGGAGGGTCTACAAGAGCAATTTTTCACACCCCAAAATGTGCAAGGCACATACCCTGGGCCCTTGTTAAAATGCAAATTCTCAGCAGCCCTGAGCCTGCATCTCTGCCAGCTCCCAGGTGACCAGGATGCTGCTGATCCTGGCGGGAGCAGACTTTGTAGGGTCTTATGAAGACCTGCAGCCCACCTGCCCCTGCTGCCATCCTACCCAGATGTTCTGGGTCTGGAATTCACGAGTAGGGTTGGTTCTTTTGGAAATAGAGAGGGTAGGGAGAAAAATTTAAAGGGCAGTCTTCTTCTAGGTGCTCACAAAGCTGCCTCATTCACGCTTCCCAGCAATCCAGGAAGCAGATATTGTTACTAACATTTTATTAACAGGGAGAGAAACAGTTTCCCCAGGAAGCACAGTGTTGCTGCCTTAGCAATGTTTCCTTTGCCTGCACCTTTCTTCAGATCAGGGTGTGGGAGACATGAGGGTCCCCCGCCCAAGTTTGGGGGATTCTAGGAGAGGGAAGGGGAAGCAGGACCCCCAGAGTCAGGAGTCCTATCTGTGATCATTTAAACCCGCTAGCTGGGCAAAGAAGGATTAGACGTGGCATGATGCCGTGGTGAGGAAGGAAGGAGGTCCCCAAAAGGGAAAAGACAGGGGCTGGGTGGGGGATGACAGAGCCAGCCCTTCATCTGGGGCCTGGGAGAGGCCGGCTGTGACAGCAGCTCCCACCAAGGCCCCCAGACCTCAGGCTGGTCACTGAGGTGGGGGGTTGCTCTATGATTGCGACTTGATTGCAACTTGGGAACTTGATTCCCAGTGGAGATGTGCGGGGGAGCCCCAGGGCTTGTCTCTGCTTCCTGTAGATCCCGGGTCCCCTAGGGATGAGGGGACCACATGTTCAGGTCAGGAATGGTGTCACCGGGAGAAAATACCTCTCAGGCAGTAGCTTCACAAACAGAAGCAGGGGTTCTGGCCCTGACAAGCAGGGAGAGGCACGCAAACTCTGAAAACATCGTCAGCCATAATCCACAGAAAGCTTCCTTTTATTGCCCAATATCCTCTTAAGCTGTGGCTTCAAATCATCGCTGTCACGTTAAAGCAGGGAGAGCCGCCGAGCTGCTGTCGCCTGGCCATCCATCTCTTTAGGGGGATAAATGCAGGAAGCGTTCTCGGGAATGGCAGTTATTAAAGACTTAATTTAACTGCCAGTTGCAGTGCCCTGGTGCCATGACGTGGTAGAGCATGGGTGGGCATTTGCCCGGATACAGGGAGGCATTTAGCCCCTGCAGTGTCTCCCCAAAAGCAGGTTCTCTGGACCTCACAGACACCCTGGAGCGCTGTTCGACCTGTGTATCAAACACAATGTAGTAACTGACGTGTACTCACACTGCTGTGTGCCACACACTTTCCAGTCTTTTAAGTGTATTTGCTCATTTAGTCCTCAAAGCAACCCCACAAGGGGGGATCCGGGGTGACTCAGTTAACAGAAGAGGAGTTGGAGGTGTTGCAGTTAGAACACTGGACCTCGGAGGCCTCCCAGAGCAGGAAGAGGCAGGAGCCACACCAGGCAGGGCCTGCTGGGCCTCGAGTGGATTTTACTGCCAGTTCATTGGGAAGCGTGGAAGGTTCAAGCAAGGGAGAGGCAGGAACAGATCTGAGTTTCAGAATCAGCTTTGCTGCAATACTAACTTCAAGGGCCAGAGGAGACCTTGCCAGTGGGCCGCGAGGAGTATTAGCACCTACTACAGCTGTGCTCGTGGGGTTTAGATTAATGCTGGTCTCACAGGCCAGGAGAGAGGTGAGGACTGGGCCCCTGGCTCCAGGCCCTGATGTCTTTTCTGCCTTAGCCTCCAGCTGGCTTCAGGACAGCTTCTCTGGCTTTCATCAGCTGGGAACCTTCAGTGACACAAAGAGCTGTGTCTTTAGCAATTTTCACTTCCTCTTATGAAAGGCGTTTGGGGGCAAATCGTAATTTAATAAGAATTTTGGAAAGGATATGAAAACCCGCCGTTTTTTTTTTTTTTTGTCTTTTCAACAGCCTTGCGAGGGGCAGCTGCATTCCAGACTGTGAACCGGGCACCTACTTTGATTCCGAGCAGATCAAATGCGGGGAATGCCATCCCACCTGCCAAACCTGCGTGGGTGAGTTCCTCCCTGCAGAGGCGTTGATTTCATTATGCCAGCCCAGCAGAATCTGGGTTACCCCAGTGGAGAGTCTGTCTCCAAACCAGAAAGCACTAGAGCTTCAGGGACTTCTGTGTGTATTGCAGCAGGAAGACAAAGGTCTTCCAGGAGCAGCATGAAACTGGGGACTCAGTGTTTCATGGGTATGAAGTATCAGTTTAGAAGATGAAGTTTGGGGATGGATGCTGGTGATGGTAGCACCCCAGTGTGAATGTACTTAATGCCCTTGAACTGTCCGCTTAAAAATGGTTAATATGGGGCCTCCCCGGTGGCGCAGTGGTTGAGCTCTGGGTTGCAAAGCTGCCCGCAGCCTCTGCAGCGCCGGTTCGATCCCCGGCTGCTCCCTGGCCACTGGAGGAGGATCCCACATGGTGCAGACCTCTCCTGCCGCCCGCTGCTCCCCTCAGCAGTGTACTTCGGTCCTTCTGCCTGCTCTGCTCCCGGCTCTGGCTCTGGTGAATTCTCTCACCCTCCCGTGCTTCTGACTGTACCCAGTGCTTATATAAATAAATTAATTAATTAAAAAATGGTTAATATGGTAAATGTTAGGTTATATGTATTTTTACTTTTTTTTTAGTGGGGGAAAAAAATTCACAAGGGCCAGCTTTGAATGAACATCCCGGGTTTCCTGGCATTAGAAGCCAGCCAGGCTGTAAAGGGTGCTCACTGTCAGCTGTCTTGCCTGGAAGCTCAGCCCTTGCTGCAGATTGGCACCAGCTCGGATACAATGCCATAAAGATCCAGAGGGGAGAGGTGGGCGCAGATTCCCGTGCTGATGGGAGGGAGGCTTTTTAAAACATAGCCTTCATTCCTTGTACCTATTTTCACTTATGTTGAACATTTTATTCAGAGAGGTAAAGACTTCTATAAACAATTTTATGCATATTATAATTCCCCACAAAGATGATAGCGCAGATGTCTTCCAGGCACAGTTTTTATGCAGAATAGCGGAGAATCCATTCATTTTTATTGGTTTGTCATGTTGCAGCTATTTGCGCGAGAATGCTGAAATGCATTATGAATTTGTGGGCTCAGATCTACTTGGGGTTAAGGCTTCTCTTCTGGACGCTCCTCCCCCCCCCCAACACTGTGGTCCTTGTTCTAAGAAACCCATGTTAGACTCTGTGCTGCAATAACAATTTAAGAATTGTTTATGTTGGAATCTCTGCAAAATCACCATTGCCATAATACGGACCCCGGGAAATGCAGCAGGACGGGCAGTAGTGTGGCTGCATGGGCCCCACGTGGGCATCACCTGTGCTTCCAGGAGGGGACATGCCAGGGAGAGCAGGACTGTGGCAAGGTCAGGTTCTTAAAGCCCCCAAGAGCTGCGCCTTCCTGACACCCCCAAAGAAGGGGGACGTCGCCAAGTTTGGAAGCTCTTCCAGCCTCAGTAACAGTTTCTCCTACGCTTTGCCCTTGCCTTTTTATTTGTTTCTTTATTTTTTGTTTCTTTGACTCGTTGCTTAACCCAGGTTGATCAAGGAACACCATTGATGACACTTATTTAAATGTCATAGTCACTTGACTCCATGAAATTCAGGTGTGTGGTTTTATAACACTTCTGATTTCCATCATCTAATTTACTTTTCTCTCTCCGCATCCCCAGACTTCCTGCCGGCAAACAACTTTATAGTCCTTACAGGTTCTCTGTTCTCCATCTCCTGACTTCCCATCACTTCTGCATGTCATTCAGTCATGTGCAGATCTAAGGCTGTCCTCCCCATACCCACCTGTCGGGGTTCTTTTTAAGTTCCCGGGATGTGTGCACCCACCCATGGCAGCTGCTGGGGAGAAGGACCTCTCTTCCCTGCCCTCGTGTCTGCCAGGCTTCTTGCTATTATGTCAGGGGTGGGTCAGTGCTAGAATCCACTGTCCCCAGGCGTGCCTGGCCTTCCCCTTCTCGTTCCCATCAGAGATCGTCGCTGCCCCCCACCTGTGCAGGGGACTGGACATGGTATTAGGGAGAGTGACATGCTTGCATTTGTCCTCACCCCCGGGCACCAGCGCCCCTATGCATATGGTGCAATCTCAGTGGGGACAAACCTCTTGCCTACCTCTGGTCCAAGTAACCCCTCCAGTGTGTCCTGACATGGCGGGGGGCCCTCTGCTAGGAGTTGTTGCAGGGAGGTGACCCTTGGGACAGGGAGGTGACTGGCAGCCAGTGAGGAGCCATGTGCCAAGTCTCACGGAGTGCCTTGGCACCTTTGAGGGGCAGCCTTCACTCAGACCCCTGCCCCAGAGCATGATGTGAAACAGCAGATAAAACCCACTGTGTTCTAAAGAGGGAACGCGGGAGAAAGGAAAGTGTTTCACAGCTTAGTCTTAGTGCCCTTCCTACCTGCCGCCACCTCCTGCCTTCTCCCTTGTACCAGACCCGGCCAGCGATGGGGCGGCTCCTGCCTAAACACAACCACTTAGCTCTTGCAACTGTGATCTGTGGGCACTTTTACAGTGTCTGAAGCTTGTAAAAGCTGGTGACTTAATGGACTCCTTAAGGGATGTGGAGTTATAAACTTCGTAATTTTTAGTAACTGTGAAAATAGTTTGTGTAAGAAATTTGTGTTTAATCAGCTTTTTTCCATCATGGTAAGATGTCCGTAACCTAAAATTTACCGTCTTAACTGTTTTGAAGGGTCACTTCAGTGGCTTTAAGGCATCGCACAGCTGTGTGGCCATCACCACCTCCCATTCCCAGAACTTTTCCGTCTTCTTGATTTTATGGGTTCTCCTGCTTTAAAGATTGGTACATGCATTTAGCATTTAGTGTTTGATATATTGCTGCTTAGCATTAAGCTAAGTATAAACCAGAGCAAGTGTGTTTTCCCCCTTAATGCTCCTCAGACAGTAAGAACCCTAGGATGATCGAGGCAGAACATCCTGGGGAGCAGGGATCAGCAGGGAAGGGCATAGAAGGGGACAGCTTCCAGAATCTTCCAGGGACTCAGCCACCAACATGAAGGAGGAGTGGTAGAGGAGGGACAGGCTCTTGGCTGAAGCACAAGACTACCTTTCATCTAGAATGACATAAGGCAGACAGAATCCTACTCATTTGGCAGTTCTTCTTCTGTGTCTCAGCACGACTGGGCACACCTGGGCAGGATGTGTGCTGTCCCTACAGAGGCCCAGTGACCCTCTGATGCTCCCACTTTTGCTTCCTGCTCATAATCCTAGTGAACTCCTCATCCCCTTCTGGCCGTAAAGCTGCAGAGTTGTGACGCCAGCCCCAGCCTGAGCCTTGTGGCTGGTGGAGCCGCCCTGCAGACCCTTGTCTTCCCTGGACACAGTGGACCCTAGTCACCCTAGCCCCCTTAGACCTGGAGTGACTCTAGGAAAAGGGCCACATATCACTGCCTTAGCTGCCAGGCCTGAATCTAAGGCCGAGGTCAAATATCAGTGGGAGGAAGACCTTGAACAGGGACCTTTACTGTAAGCAGCCGAGACTATTTCTGCCCTGGATTCGACATTCTATGGGACCAGCCCATGGGTACCTCGCTGCCTCTCTCTGACATCCCACCAGGTGCCCTAGGGGACATTTGGCACAGAGTGGACACCCAGCTCTTCCTTGTTGTTGGAATGTGTGAGAGAACAGTGGGGCAGACCACCAGCCTGGTGTCGTCATTCTAAGCCGTGTCCACCCCGAACTGATGAGCCTTCCTGATTGAGCTGCCAGCTCTCCTCCCTGGCCCTTGACCCTTCACTCAGCACTTCTGTCCCTTTGTAAGCCCTAAGTCACTTCTCTGTTGTTGAAAATGTCCTGGTCGTCCATCCACACCAAATATCAGTCCTCACCACTCCCCAAAATTTCTTCCCTCTCTTCCCCCCATTGTCTCACCTGTGTTCTGTCCAGTGGAAATAAGATACGCACCCCAAGTGGGAGCCACTGATGTGATGTTAAATTTCCTAGAGAAATAGGTAGAAATAATCAACACATCTTATTTAATCCAATGTATTTGAAGCACTGTCTTTATTATGGAAAGTGATCTAGGGAATGATGTGTAGTAAAGCAAGTCAGAATGATAAAGATAAATATTGGACATTCACAATAGACAACTGGACAAAGCCAAGTGCTTATAGAAAGTAGCAGGTGCTAATATGAGAAGTGAGGTTTGTTTCTGAGGTTAAGAAGGGAATGGAGAGGCCTCCCCAGTGGCGCAGCGGTTGAGCGCTGGGTTATGAAGCTGCCCACAGCCTCTTTAGTGCAGGTTCGATCCCCGGCCACTGGGCAAGGGTCCCACATGGTGCGCAGACCTCTCCTGCCCGCCCACTGCTCCCCTCAGCAGTGTACTTCGTCAGTCTGCCTGCTCTGCTCCCCGCTCTGGCTCTGGTGAATTCTCTCACCCTCCTGCACTTCTGACTATACCCAGTGCTGTATAAATAAATAAATAAATAAATCTTTAAAAAAAAAAAAAAAGGAAGGTAATGGAGGGAAGAAAGTGCCAGAAGGATGAGAGGGATGTGGTGGGGGGCATGGGGGAATAAAGGTAAAATGGTTTGAATAATTAGAAAAAAGGTTACAATGGTGAAAAATGTAATTGCTGGTGAGCTGGGGCGTTGAGCACCATTCTACAGCTATCAAGAGAAACTCCAAGTAGACAGTGACTCATTTGGTGAATTATTTCTATTTAAACATTTGAACCTAAGGATACAGTTTACCTGGACTCCTTCCAATAGGAGTCCTTCTTGGGAAGGGGGCTTAAAAAGAAAGATTCCAAATGTCCTTGAGAAACAGGTGAAGATGATTATAACAAATCCTATGTAGCCCAATGTAGGGACAGCACCATCGTTTCAACATGGAATCAATACAGTAAAATTCATGCACTATTTCACATTTTTTTTAATTTATGCCTTTGAAATCCAGCGTGTATGTATTTTACACTCACAGCTCATCTCAGTTTGTTTCCAGCCCTGTTTCAAGTGCTTCAAGCCACACGTGGCTGGCTCTAGCAAGAGGGCCTGGCCTGTTGGGATGGCGGCATTTGGAATCTGGGCCAGAGAACGTGGCCCAGAGCAGGGAGGTGAGCCAGGCATGGCTCATGTCCCCACATCCTGTCTACCAATTGGAGGTGTGATGCTCACCTCCAGGAGAGGCGAGGACATCTCAGTGCAGGTGCCATGGCCCCAGGAAGCCTGGTGGGGGCAGTGACCTTGGCATGTCTGGACGGTACAGCAGCAGGGCCATGGTGATAACCAGGCAGTCCCTGACTTCTGCTACTTTCCTGCACCCTCAGGGCCCAGCCAAGAGGAATGCATTCACTGCGCACCGAGCCTCCACTTCCAGGACTGGAGATGTGTACCGGCCTGTGACGAGGGCTTCTACCCCGAGGAGATGCCAGGCTTGCCCCACAAAGTGTGCCGAAGGTACATGGTCCTCTCCCACACATGCATGGTCAAACTGGGGAGCAACCATCAGCTGTGCCTGCAAAGGAGCAGCAAGGGTTGAGGGGACCCCACTGGGTGTGAGGGTGTGCTCCCTGGCACTACTGCAGGGTGCCAGGAGTGACCAGGAACCTTTCACAGAGGAAGGCCTCTGCAGTGAGCGATCGCCGAGGTCACAGGTTAGCGCGTGGCTTTCCTTACTTTGTCAAACAAGTGTTTGCTGGGACCTACTGTGCACCCAGGATTGGCAGGAAGCAGAATGACAGGTGCCCCCTGGCACTGTTCACACCCTGGGGAGCTAGGTCTCCTCTGTGGTGACTCCCCCTACTTCCAGTGGAAGCCACCCTCAGACAGGCCTAGGGGTGTCCCCAGATCATAGACATAACTGACAACCCTCTGAGGGGCTGGAGTCCCTAGCTCTGGGCTCACAGAGCGGGAGGGGGTGTCATCTGTAAAAGAAACTGGGAGGGTTCCAGGGGAAGCAGTGCCCTGTGCTGTGGCATCAAGGGCCTGTGCTGGAGGGGCGTCATCTGTAAGAGGAGCTGGGAGGATCCCAGGGGAAGCAGTGCCCTCTGCTGTGGCATCAAGGACCTGTGGGGGGCTACCAGGAGATATAGCAGGAAAGGGGCTTCCCCAAAGTGCCTAGGAATGGGGTCCACTGGACAGAGCCTTCCTCTGGTCCTGGGTGTATGGTGGGGGCGAGGCCAGGCTCCTGCTGCAGGAGGAGGAAGTCAGAAGGGCTCCAGAAGGCAGGTTTGCCCACAGGATCCATTTTTATCAATATAAAATCCAAGTCTATACTCCAGTTGGGGGGCATCCTCAGCTGCACTGGTATAGACGCTGCCTCTCATCCAGGCCGAGAGCAGAGTTGGGGTACAGTCACACCTTGGTGGAGGGTGACCTTAAAAAGAGGCACATGGGAGCCTGTTGGCATCTAGTCGCTGACCAGGCAGGTGTCACCTGTCCCAAATGAAGAGCTGCCCACAGAGGACAGGCCCAGATGGCGGCCAACTCAGGGCCCTGTGGGCTCGCAGCACAGGTTGGGCAATCACTGAGTTCTGGGTGCTGGAGACTCAGTGCTGCGCTCAGAGAAGGCTGCAGCCCCAGTGTAAGCCCTCACGCTGTCCAGCATGGCTGGGGCACAGCCCCCAGCCTTCAGGCAGCGTCTGCCTCTGGGTAGGCCCAATAGCAAGTAGTTTGGATTTTGCAGGCCACACGGCCTCTGTTGTAGCCATTTAAATCTTCACATGCAGATGCACAAGTGTGACTCTAAGCTGATAAAACTGGGGACATGTCCTGCCAGCCCGTGTGCCACCCCTGAGGCCACCATATTCTGGTTGGATAGAGCCCTGGTCCTGCCCCTAGGGCATAATTGGACGGACACCCTCCCCCCCACCACACCACCACCCCAGGTGGCATCACCTGAAAGGAAGCTCAGCCTGGTGGCGAGTAGCTGTCCCCAGCCCAGGTCCAGAATCAGGTTTGCCACATCCCTGGGTGGAGCCTGGCCTGAGTTCCAAGTGCACAGCTGGCACCGCTGGCAAGCTGCCCGGGGAGGGTGTGCTGATGCTGCTCAGGAGCCACCTGCAGGGTGGGCACCGCAGAGCCAGGTGAGCAGGTCTCAGAGACCTGGGCCTGTGCTTCCCTCTGGGCATGCTCCTGCCAACGGCCATGACCACATCTACCCTAACAGGGCAGCGGTGCAGTCAGACCGGAGGAAAGACCGGCAGACTCTCAACCAAGTTCAGGCCATGGTTGGGGACAGAGTTGCAGCCTCTCGGCAGAGGACCAAGCTGGGACGTGGCGCAGAGGGGAGGAGGCCTCCGGGCATGGGTGGGCTCTTCCCTGACAGCAGTGGACGCCCCTGTCCCCCCCCAGGTGCGAGGAGAACTGCTTGACTTGCGAAGGCTCCAGCAGGAACTGCAGCAGGTGCAAGGCGGGCTTCACGCAGCTGGGCAACGCGTGCATCACCAACCACACGTGCAGCAACGGTGAGCACTGGCCGCTGTCGGGATGCTGTGTTACCCTCGGGCTGCCCTGGGAGGAGCCGGCCTCTGGCAGAAAGGGAAAGACAAGACAATGCAGGAATGACAGCCCCTCTGCCTGGGCGGCAGCCCCTCCTATGCTTGCTTGGCCATGTCAGGCTTCTCTACCCACCCCACCCCTGATGCCCCCCCCAACACTCCTTCCCTCGAGGCTTCTCTCACAGTGACCAGAGAGGCATCCCAGCTCTGCTGGCGGCTTTGTTGAGTGACTCTTAAAAAATGTTTGTTCTTGTTCTGTTCCCACTCTCCGGCCATCAGCCCCGGGCGGCTGGGTGCCGTGACTTACAGCAGGAGAGGCTCCAAGCTCAGAGGTCTGGAGGGTTCCAGCCTCATGGAGTCTTCACAGGCCCACAGGACCCAGCTCTCTAGGCTATGAGGAGACTTGGGCAGATTGTGAAAACAGCCACTCAGGGGAGATCAAACACTAACTTGGGGTTCTAATTAGCGGATGGGTTGACAGAGGTCTCTGGCTGGGTGGCCTGGTGAGCGGGCGTGCTGTGGGAGGAAGGGGACCTCCTTGGCTCCACAAGTCAAAGGGAGGAGCAGAGAGGGGAGCTCCCACCTCCAGAGTCCCCAGGCATGGAGCTGGCCCTGCCCCTGCCCCAGCAGAACACGAAGCCTGAGGAGAGAGTCCTGGGTACACGCTGTGAGCCACAAGGTGGTTGGTGAACTACAAGGCCTTCTTGGTGTTTGGTCATTTATTTAGGCTTGTAGCACTGTGTCCCTTGACAGGCCAGGAAGCGCTCTCTTTGGGGAGTCCTCTACTCAGGTTATACATCCAGCCCCAGAAAGCGAGGTTGTCCTGGGCAGTGTCCAGGGCCCCATGTGTAACAACACATTCTAAATGCACCAGGGCTCTTACCCTACCCCTTGGCTTCTTCCTCTGCCTTGATGACCCTCCCATCCCATCCGGTTAGAATGTCCCCTGGACCACAGCAGCAGCTTCCACTTCTGCTTCCTGCCTCCCCCAGAATCTTCCTCCTAAGTTCCCCACCAGAACAGTTGTCCGGAAGGACAGACAGATGCGCAGGAGCAGATGGGCCTTCTCCCTGTCCTGCCTACTTCACTCCCAGGCACCTTCCTGAACTCCCTTGGCTCCCCCAGATTCAGCCTGGGCCCTCAGATGCCAGCTGTCACAGGGGTGGGAGGCTGGAAGGCCTGCCCTGGCTGCCACCCCCTGTCCTCTGGGTCCCCCACTCTGCCTAACATAAAGGCTCAAAGAGGGAGGCCTGGAACAATCTTAACAGGCCCCACAGTCTGACCTTTCCCCCATTTTCTTTCCTGGCGGGGCTTTAGCTGACGAGACGTTCTGTGAGATGGTGAAGTCCAACAGGCTGTGTGAACGGAAGCTCTTCATTCAGTTCTGCTGCCGCACGTGCCTCCTGGCCGGGTAGGGGGTACCCGGCCACCCCCAGAGGCAGGGCCCTCCTGTCCATCCGTCCTCCGCCTTTCTCCAGACTGTAGGCCAGAGCCTGTTTCAGGGGCGGTGCCCTGCATCTGACAGCTTTATCTCCCCAGGAGCAAGGTCCTCCTGCCCCATGTCGGGGCCCCCCACCTGGTGGGTGGTGGGTCTGAAGGACGTGTCCTTAAAACAGCGAGAGCCTCTCAAACTCTGCTTGCTGGCTCCATTCTTCTGGCAACTCCAAACAGGAACAAAATAAGGATCGGGACTCCACAGCGCCAGCCTCGGATCAGCTTCTGGGACCATAAGTTTACTGAATCTTCTAGACCAAAGCAGAAAGACGCTTGGCAAAACACATCATTCTTCTCCCGTGCTTCTGCTCAGCTCTGCAGTAAATCTCACCCACCGGGCCCAGCCCGTCCCCACGTGTGATGAAGGGCAGGGCAGCGCACCTGCTCCTCGCTGCCACAGAGCAGTCTGGGGGATGGTTTGGTCAGAATGTAAATAAAATAGATTTAGGGGCATAAAATGTATGACCACTGGGGATGGCACATCTGTTTCTACGTAGTCAGCTCCTTCTGCAACTGCAGCAATGGCTTAGAAAGTCTCCTTCCAAACCCAGACGGGAAGAGTCTGCCTCCCTCTGCAGCTGAGCGTCCCTTGTCACTGCTGCATCTTGGGACACTAATGACCACCTCTACCTGATGTAGAACCTTCTGTGGAAGGGCCCCAGGAAGCATCTCCCGGACCTAGCCAAAGGCACCTTGATTATCAAGCAGTTCCTCTTATCCAAATGTCAGCCCACTGTGTCGTTAGTCATCGGTCACTTCCCACCTCCTGGAATTGCTTGTAGAGCCCGTTTTGGCCTCTGATCTTCCGGAGACTTGCCCTGCCGGTGGCTGCTTCTGTGTCTGTGTGTGTTCAGAGCCTAATGGCACAGTCGGATCGATTTCTGCCAAACCTGTGCAGGCATTTTATAAGCTACATGTTCTAATTTTTACCGATGTTAATTATTTTGACAAATATTTCATATATTTTCATTGAAATGCACAGATCAGCTTGATCGATTCCCTGTAATGTGGGAGTAACATTTGCCTTAAATTTTTCCAGCTCGTTCTTCTCCATTTTGTCCTGCTCTTCTCTGACTGTAACACATTTGCCTTGTCCCCTGTGAGCTGGGGAAACCCCAGCTGTTGTTTATTGAATCCACAACTCCGAAAATGAAATCAACAAAGCAAATACAATGTTAACCCTAAATTAATAAAAGAGTTAACAGCCCACGGGAAAGGACCCTGTATTTTTTTCCAAAGCACAACAATTAAACATGGGTGCTGACTGAGATGTGAAATGGCTTTATTTGTCTCTTCAGGATCTGTTTGGTGTCATTACGTGCTAGGTCTGCTTTGAATGTTAGCAAATGTTGATGTAGCGAAGATCTCAGTGTTCCAAACCCAGGGTAAAGAGTCCTTCCTCAGGCCACAAAAGCCTTGTTGGATAGAGGGACTGGATAGAGAGATACCTCCCACCTCTGTCCAGGGGAAGCCTTCTACCTAAGGCTGCCAACAGTGTTTTAACTAGGCTAGAGATTGTCTTTTGTGCAGCAACTGAACTCCCTGCACCCGTGGGTTACATGCTATGTGGGATTTTGAAAGTGGTCCCTGTGAGCTCAGAATCCTTTGCAAATAAAGGAAATGCACCAACAACTGGAACTGAGTTAGGAAAAAATACAAGTGGCTGGGGGCATTGTTTTGGGATTTCTGGGTTAAATCAGGATTTCAGGGGCCAACTGGGCCTGGGAACCCTAGGGCCAGCATTAAATGTCACCTGGACCTTTTTTGCATTGCTCAGTATCTTCTCTTTCTCTCTCTTTAGATGATGGGACAAATGACAAGACCATCATCTCCCAAGTGAAACTGTTTCTGATTCAACCCCTAAGTAAGCTTTGGCTCTGCTTCTCAGTCCTAGTTAGCCTGCCTGGTGTGGGTATCCCCATTCCTGTCAACTGTGACCTCAGTAAGAGAATGACCAAGTAAAACCAGCTCGCTGGTGTAAATACGCCACCTGGTGGTCCTCTGTGGAATTAAGTGAAGTTTGGATTTTGGATAGTTTTGTTTTAACTTGCTTTTTTTTTTTAAAGATTTATTTATGCATACAAGAGCTGGGGTACAGGCCAGAGATGGGGGGGTGGGGGTGAGAGGATTCACCAGAGACAGAGTAGGGTACAGGACAGGCAGACTGAAATACACTGCTGAGGGGAGCAGCAGGTGAGACAAGAGATCAGGAGAGGTCTGCTACGCCATGTGGGTAGCTCCTTGGCCAGCCAGGGATCGAACTCATGCTGCAGAGGCTGTGGACAGCTTCACAGTGCTGTGCTTAACCCCTTGTGCCACCAGGGAGGCCCTTAACTTTCACTTTGAAACACTCACAAAGCAAAAATTATAGAAAAGTTGCAGGTGCAGTACAAAGAAATGTTTTCTGAATAATTTAAAAGTAAGTTACCAGGAAAAAGTAAAATGCCTATTACCCACCCCCCAAAACTTTTGAGTGTATTTCCTATTAAACAGGACCCTTCTCCTATACAGCCTTCAGAATCAGGAAGTGAACATTGATATATTTACTATCATGCAATCCTCTGGTTGGATTCCAGCTTTGCCAATTTTCAATTATACACTTAGCAAAGGATTCCATTTATATCTCTCTTTGCCTTTAGAATCACACTTTGAATTAACGCCCACAGCCGTATTGTGGGCTACCCCTTACTGCGTTTGTCTGAGGTTTCCTCATATTTTGACTCAAGTCATGCGTCGTTGCGGGCATCATCCTACAGAAGTGATGGTGGGTCCTTCACACTGCAGGCTCATTGGTGATACATGACCTTGATTTATTCTGTTGTGGTGATATTAACTTTGACCATGTGGTTAGGGTTTTTTCCTTTCTATGAAGGGATTACCACTAAAGGATTTCATGAGCACCGCTGTTCATCATTGTGCTGAAGATCTCAGTTGGTACAACATCACAAAACATGAAAAACTAGTAGAATTGGAAAGGAAGAAATAAAACTATCATACTCGGATAGCATGCTTAAATATGTCAAAAATCTAACAGCACCGTTACAGCGAACTATAACAAAATAATAACTGAATTTTCAAAGATTGCTGGATACAATGGGAATATCAAATGTATTTCAGCTATAAATTAATTATCTCAATATTTCAGAAACTAATGATTAGCAAATGGAATTTGTAAATGGTTTAGAATAGCATCAGAAACTATCAGATGCCTAGAATAAAATTAGTAAAAGATGTGTAAGACCTCTGCACAAAAACTATCAAACACTAAAAGAAATTTTAAAAGATCTAAATAAATATAAGGTTATACCATGTTCAATACAATATAAAACAATACAACATAGGGCCTCCTCTGGTGGCGCAGCAGTTGAGCACTGGTTTGCGAGGCTGCCCGCAGCCTCTGCAGCGCCAGTTTGATCCCTGGCCACCAGCGAGGATCCCACAAAAAAATAAAATAAAATAAACATAAATCAAAGTATAGCTTCTTCTTTAGCTACAAGATAATCTAAAATTTATTTCAAAAGTCAAAGGGCAAAATAAAATAAAATTTTTTTAAAGTAGGGCAGGGCCTCTCCTGGTGGCACAGGCGATTGAGCACTGCACTGTGAAACTGTCTGCAGCCTCTGCAGTGCGGGTTCGATCCCGGCCAGCCGGTGAGGGTCCCACATGGCACCGCAGACCTCTCCTGTCATGCCCGCTGCTCCCCTCAGCAGTGTATTTAGCCAGTCTGCCTGTTCTGTTCCCCACTCTGTCTCTGATGAATCCTCTCACCCTCCCTCGCCTCTGGCCTGTACCCCAGTTCTTGTATGCATGAATAAATAAATCTTAAAAAATAAATAAATCTTTAAAAAAAATTTAAAGTAAAGAGATAAAATTCAAAGGACAGGAATAATTAAGACAATCTCAAAAAAAAAAAAAAGAGGGAGTCCTTTGAGGGGGGGGCCAAAAAAGTCTTTCCATAAAATGTATTCTTTAAAGACAGTATGATATTGTGCAAGAATAGGCAACTAAATCCATGGAACAGAAGAAGTCAAGAAACATGCTTGGACCTCACCGGTGGCACAGTGGTTGAGTGCCGGGTTGTGAAGCTGCCCGCAGCCTCTGCAGCGCCGTTTCAATCCCTGGCCGCCGGGTGAGGGTCCCACATGGCACGCAGACCTCTCCTGCCACCCGCTGCTCCCAGTGCTTGTATAAATAAATAAATCTTAAAAAAAAAAAAAACAGATGCTCACATATTTGGACATGATTTATGAAAAAGGTAGCACTGCAGAGTCTTGGTACTCTGGAATGTGGCAGTCTTGCTTTTGATCTGGATGTCTATTGCTTGAATATGTACAATTTGCATTTTACTGTATATATCATATTTCAATAAAACATTCAATAAGCATCAATTTTAGGGGGATTTAGAGTTAAGTGTGAAAGGTGAAACAAACCTCTAGGAGATAGCAGAGGAAAATACGTTGGGTGTGAGGGAAGATACCTCAAACAAGCCACATATGTATATACTCACCATATACCCACCAACCACTGAGTGGAGAGAAAAAAAAGCCATTGGACAGTATAAAAATCAGAAATGTCTGATCGTCAAATAACACCATGAAAAGTGAAAGAGCCAATAAGCAGTGTTATAAAAACAAAATCCACAAATATAGAGCTCTAATTGGCTTTACTGAATGATTCATGAATCAGACAGCATCTCGTCTAGATACTGCCTGGAACAGTGTAAACAAAACAAAGAGTATTTATAGACAAAGGGTGGGACAAGGTTATTATCAAAAGAAAAGATTATTTCAAATAAAGCCACTTTCCCCCAGAGGAAGTTGGGGGGATTTTCTTATGCATATGACCTCACTGGTGCCAATTAGGAAACTCCAGATTGATTAGTTTAGGAGTATACTTTGGGAGAGGTTGAAACTGCAATCGTATTGATGAGTGTAGTTCTGGCTGAAGTATGCCATCATGGGCCTTTGTTTTTATATTTTTAACATCAGAAAGCCCACCCCTGTCCTAGATCTACAAGACCAGAATGAAATTGCCCCTTCAAAGGACACAGAACATATAATAACCTCCAACTGGTAGGGCTTCCTGAGGTAAGAAGTTCTTCCTTTGATGCCTCTTTTTCTATTCGACCATTTGAAGATTCCTTTGATGGCAAAATGGTAGAAGCAGTTATACTTCTTATCCTTTAGGTTTGATTTGTAGCCTAGGTTATGGTTGGTGATTTGGGGACTAGGCTATCTTTTTTTTTTTAAGATTTATTTATTTATTTATACAAGCACTGGGTACAGTCAGAAGCACGGGAGGGTGAGAGGATTCACCAGAGCCAAAGCAGGGGACAGAACAGCCAGACTGACAAAATACACTGCTGAGGGGAGCAGCGGGCGGCAGGAGAGGTCTGTGCGCCGTGTGGGACCCTCGCTGGGGTGGGCGCAACCCAGCGCCACCAGTGGAGGCCCAGGACTAGGGTATCTTAAATAAACCAAACTGGACAACAGTGTGTGTTCTTCAGCATCAATGGTGTGTATGAAAGTGGCATTTCTGCTCTGAGTTTGTCACCACACTTTCCCCCAAACTCTTCTTCAGCACAATGAAACTTGCTTGTCTCAAGCCTATAGAAACAAATAGCTCAGTACTCTCAGTAAACAGGAAGGAATGTGCTGGGCTACAGTGAATTGTGTAAGTCACGATCACCTGTCAGGCCACCACAGGGTATGCTCTTGAAAACTAGCAGTCCCCCCTGGGTTTATATGTTGCGTCTTTCAAGTTAACCTTTAACAGAATGAAAACCACAGTCTTCATTGGAGAGTCAAAGAAAGTGATGGATCCCAGGACTTCTTGAAATTGACCCTAACTGAATCAACAACCAAAGAAACATGAAGTGTTGCCAGATGACCAGAATATGCCCAGCCTCTTCTCCCAAACACATTGCAACTTGCTCTCTAAGCATGTCCTTAAAAACAAAGTTCTTTCTAAGTCTGCTCTCCCCATAAAAGAGATTATCTTTTCTCAGGGAGAAATTGCCTGTAGACTAGGAGCTCTCCTTTCTCCATTCCTTGGTCAATGAATGAAGTTTCTGGTCTGTTATTCCAAACTTGATCTCATTTAATTGGCTCTGGTGACACCCAACAGGAGACCTTCCATTGGGCAAAGTGAGAACCCAGCCCATTGGGGGATCTGTGGTATTTTAGCAGTTTTTAACAACAACAAAGGGTGAAAAAGCAAACCACAGTTTGCTCCTATCCACAGTATACTATAAAGAAATACCACAAGTCAGCAAAAGGCAGACAACCCAATAAA